AAGAGAATACAAAATTACAATACCATATTCAATATACAATTGGACAACAGGAGCTGTATAAGATGAAGGGGAATGTTTAGGATAACGAGCATTACAATACAACTTAGGCACAAACAAGGATTTTCTATGATATTCGTTTCATGACAGTGTCGCCACGCGCAGCAAGAAAAAGCTGCGTAGTGCTAGTCAGTTCGGTTTGTGGTTCTGTCGTTCTACCCATGACCGTCTGAAGTTCGTTTCGCGTATGTGGCAAACTGCACTGCTCAGAGAAATTCATATGGTATAATTGAACGTAGCGATCATGTCTGGCAAGTCCATTAGTAAATTGTTGAATTTAAGTTTCCTCATAAAACTCGTGTCCTGGGCATCAGGTTTTTTCAAAGATCTCACCATCTCTGGTTGACGACATCCTATTTCATTCCTTCCATGTCAGTGCTAGTTTCTCCCAGAGACACACTTTCTTCAACTCCCTTTGGTCATGATATTCTTTCCTTCTTGACGATGGTGTTATTCTACGTGCCACTGTCCTATTCTTCTCGCTCCTCCTCCTCCTCCACCAAAGCGACGATCACTCTTCCCTTATTTCTCCTTCAAGTCTTCTCCTAGTTTTTAGTTTTATTTCTAACTCACGCAATCGCGTTGTTCTAAGTCGACGAAACTTCTCCCGTGTGCGGTTTTCTTAAACCTGAGTTTTTTAGGTGTAGTAGATTATCAGTCAGTGAAATGCTCTGAGCACAACAGAAGAGGTAGATTGTATCGTAGTCTTTAACCAATTGAACAATGGAGTATATTGCTACAGTAGGAAAGAGAGTGGATATGAATACACAATATACATATAACGAATAATACAATATTTGTAAAATAAATAAGGGTTTCCATAGATGACATTACGTCAGATTTGGGCTCGAAAATTCTGTGTTCAATGAACTTATTAAAGCCAATGAAACATCCTTACTTTGACTTTTATGGGTACTTTATATCTAGCTGGTTTCCTTTTCATTCCACGCGAGAGATAAATTTTCTTTCTCGTATCAAACGTTTAATCACCTGGTTTTACAAAGCCCACATTCGCGCAGCACTTGATTGCTGTGACCATGTATAGTCAATAGAATCCCGTTAACAGTCGCTTCAATATCCATTTCACTGCTGCCACTTGGGTCTGGCCTCTCCCGTCTCCTATATATTTGTTCTTCCTCCGACTCAATGCACAAGCAGTTAATCACGTTTCAGTTTCACATTACCAAGTTATCGTCAGGTACCATATTTCTAACGTTTAGTATTATTTCCCCTCAAAATTAAAAAAAACACCATCTCTGTTTTCGTCTTCCCTTTAACATACAGCATCACTATCTCTAACACTAGAATGACAAGATATTTTTCACTTTTAAAACTACAAAGGAGTCAGCCCTGATCCCGGTATTCATATGTAATCTATTTAGTTAGAAGCATACGAACTTATTTTGTGTTGTCTGGCACCAATGCAAACATTTTCAAATATTTTAAATATTTCGAATTTTTTTCCATGCGATAGAATGGTCGGTATACTCGCAATTATTCTCACCGTTTCCGTGACTAGAGCACACTAACGAATATCTGAGATCTCTCGTAAAACAATCGATTGTGATCTTACCATATAAAAATTCCTCGTGATGCACCACATTCTTTATGATTTTTGGTTCAGAAGCTGATACAGTTGAAATTACATATAACGGTTTATTATTTCTTTCACCCGTGCATTTTCCTGTTGTACCTAGCTGTTCACCTTTTATAATTCATAAGGGATTTCGTCGTTTATCTAAGCATTATGATTATTGTATGGCTCTCTTAGCCTTCGTAACTGTGTACAATCTTGATTAAATCTATGCCTACACAAGTCTTCGCTACCCCAAACGTTACCTAAACCCAAATCTACCAACCCGACGTTCTCGTCCTGCATCAGATCCAGTTTTCATAAAATATCAAATCGTGGTAATGTTTGCCGAAATTCAACAATATCCTGTTTATTATTATCATATTTCACATTCGTCTGACGCGACTGTGCCAAATCACAGTACAATAATCTTTTAAAAAAGTAAAACGTTCCATGATTTGCATGTGGACTAAATACTGCCTGTTTAAAAACCTAAAAGTAATGTTTTACACAAACCTATATGTATTATATTACACACGTCTGAATTCGGCTTGTGCCAAACAAATCTTGATAAAAAAGAGAAAGTAACATGATTTTTTGTGTGTTCGAAATGCTGCCAGGTTGCTCAAGTCAGGGAAGGTGAGTTTTCTTGGGTAGTTCACAACCAGAGTCTTTGACTAACTGAAGCCTGATCACCAAGGCTGCGGGGTGGTTGTGGAAAATGCAGTCTATTGGGGGCCAGTGTCCGGTTCATATCATACGCCTTTCAGACCGGGTCAAATATCCAAGGTGCTCAATGGAGTCAGTGACCACTGCCACAACCCAGGTGTGAATAAGTGTGATTCATGCGCCTCTTGATTGGTTTGGAATCAGGGTTTTTAGCCAACTCCCCTAGGTGAACTGCCAGTGGTTCACCGGTCCGGTTATGGCACAACCTCCCCGAAGTTGCACTGATGATGATACCTAGTCTGGCTACGAAACCTCTACGAACAGCACTTCCAGCTCGGAGAGCACACCAACATCCGCATCCCAAGCTACAATCATTCCACATTAGTTCTCTCCCGTCTTCACAACACAATAGTGAATTTTGCTTAAATCGGAAGCATGCAACAAGTAGCCAGGTTAAGAATGTTTCCACCCGAGTAGTAATCCCGTAGGTCCCTACGAACGAGAGCAAATGTTCACAAAATGTTTGGGTCAACATAAATTGCGTTCTGTAGTTCGCAGTAAAAAGGGAGAAAAGAGTCTCGTCAGCTACCTGGTAATCAAGTAAGTAGTGCATTTGTGTTCTACCTGTAATATCCCGGGTCGGATTCCAATTGTGGTTGATGTATCACACTATGGATGAAACTCAAAAAGATCGAAACACCTTTCTGTGTTTCCTATATTTTTAGTTTGCGCTTCCGTTGCTATGTACACAATGCAATTCACCATGTGGATGCTGGAACAAGTTGTCATGACACAATCCTTTTTCTGTTGTTTCCTTTGCTTAGACCTCATCTGTAGTTGCTCTTTTCACCGACCCTTGATGTTTTCCGACTCAACGGTAATGTTTTTTTAATTACACACCATAGTGTACGGAACAGTAGAAGGGGAAAATCCCATAGTCTCGGAGATCTACTGTTCACTTATGTTACCTGGCAACGTAAGCCCTGGGGCTACCCACATAATGCCCAAATAGAATAATGCGTGGTTTCGAGCTGGACGACAACAATACTTCCTACCACCAAAGTCATGTGGCGGTGGCAAAGCTCAAACTTTGGACTTTGTGGTCCACAAGCCCACCAGTGACAGCGGTGTAAACCACCACCGCGATCATCCTTTTGAGGTAGGTTCGTTGTTCCGCTCCAAACATTTCGTCTTTTTAGAGTGAAAATTAGTTCTGTCTTTCGGTACCGCAGTAAAATATGCGATGAATTTCTTTTTATGTTCTTTGGTACTCGGCTGAGGATATTGTAGAGTAAAATGCCCTATCCTTGAGGTCCACGGCCTCCATTAGCCCCCCCCCCACTGCGCTGCATTCACTTTGTCCAATTCAGTTTTTATCCAGATAAACTTGTCTGGTTCTGCTGCTTTTGAATTTTTAAATCACTAGTTGCAGACACCAGTTGCTAACTTCTTTTTTACCTGGTACGTACACTCGCTCAACCCCTTTTTGGTTTTCGATCGTCCTCTGACCCAGAACTGTCATGTCGGTTAGGAGTATTTTAGCAACAAAGCCATCAATCTGGTCCTGTCATGAGTTTCCCACTCACTCACTTTATAGTACAATTTCCGTTCTTGGAGATTACCACATATGCAGTGAATCTCTTCGATCTGATAAAAACACGAAACAGTCGGTTTGTATTTGGTCTCGCTATTTGTGAGCAATGGTATAAGATGGTTGTTGCTGATTTAGGATGAGCATTTTTTAAACTTCAGCCTCACAAGTTATCCTCTCATTTAGTCAACCATGCACTCAGAAAGCACTGTACGCAGGTTTCTCATTCTGATTCTTCCCTATACACATTCATCCAAAAGACTGCAACCGAAAGTACCACGTGAAAATGCGAGGTGAATATTTGTATCAACTGATCTGAACATTGCTCTTGGTAAAGCTCATCAGTAGTGCATTTCAACATCCGGAATGTGTATGTGGTAACACTGTGCCAGTCAGCTCATACTGGGCTGAAAAGAATTACCGATTGGAGTTAGTTCAGGTATTGTCTTCAGTGATAACCGAGCAGTTGACTTGGTCCGGCTATCTGTTAATTTCATTCGAAAATCTCTAATCAAATCTGGTCTTCAATGTAGTTTCGAGGCATCTGGTCACAAATAAACCTACTAGATTTGATTTTACGTCATGCTCATGAAGCACTAGACGGTTTTCAGGTGATGACGGTCTTCGTAACAACCACCCGGAGCTCACGAGTTCAAATCCCACCACCACCAAATTTTCCTCATATCTATATTTCTTTAGCGAGCCTGTGATTGGTCAAACCTACCTTCCTGAAAATTGACTGTACAATATATTCAATTATCGAAAAATATGTGGTAAGATTACCTGAAGCTCGAGTGTCGCTCTTGTTGGAGTTCATTCACTGCTGGGTCGTTAGATATACACTACTAATGGTCTCTAACAAAAGGGAAACTGGAATTTAGTGCTTCTTGGTCGTATGTTTAACTTGATGAGCTAAAGACTGCGCCGGAAGGTGAAACCTGAAGGACGTTCAATCCAAATAAACAAACAATACACCTCAATGAATATAACGTGGGCCAAAATATTTTGTTTATAATTAAGTAACAATTGTTTTACCGTTTGACATGACATCAGTTTTCCTCCTTCCTTTTAGTTGAGCGCTACTCGGGTGATAGCACATCTGTTATCACCATGCTTAAGAGGAAAACAGCCAGACGTTCTTCGGCTCAATATTTCATATCTGCAGAGGACCACGTTGAAAACGAGGTGAAGCATGAACGCTTGCTCACAGAGACCTCTCGGTTATCTTCATCCTGGGCAGGTTTTAGTGTCTCCGGAAATGAGCTCCCCGAAGCAGATGGCTCCTGCTCCTCGTCGTTACCAAATACAAGCCCAACTCACCGCCCGAGCTCTTTCAGTGGTCCACTGGTGATTTCTGTTACCTGTTCCAGTTCGTCACCTGGTGTGCACAGTTCATTTCCTAATCATACTTCCGGGAGTCGGTGTACCCCAACCAGTCCGAGTCCACATATGAACTCGTCGGGATACTCCTCGCCCGTTGCTTCACCCGTTTCATCTCGTGTGCAGTGCTATTCACCAAGTTTAGCTGCATCCACTGGTTCACCAACACTTCGACGTCCCACAAATGGAGGAGCTAGTCCACTACTCGTTTCGGCTGCACTGTGCCGGAAAAGAAGTTATCTGTCATGCGTTTTCCCTGGTGGTGGTGGTGGCGGTGGGTCCAGCGACGATGCCAGTCGGGAGGGATCGCCTGATCCGTTCCAGTCTTCACGTGGATGCAAAGCTATGCGTCAGGGAGATGCACGGTCGTCATTGACCACTGAAATTTCTCATTTTCGGTGGCCTCCGGGTCTTCCCCTAATCTCCAATCCACCCAGTCCATCCTGCCAGCTTTTTCCTTCCACTACAAGTAATTTAAATCCACCGAGTAGTCCTTCAACTTCTAGCTTGCCTTCCCCACGTTTATCTTTAACCTCATCGATAGCCACCTTTCCAGGTTCACCGGCTTCATCGATTTCAAACTGTCCAGTTTCCTCCACCTGTGACTCTGCGGTGGCTACTTCAAGTCCTAGTGCGGATGAGAAAGCCTCTGTTTCATTTATGGAGATTGACAACAAAATCACCTCATCTGTGGCTTCTCTTTCAAAGCGCGTTCCCGATCCGGAACCTAAAGCCAATGGACCAGCAGACTCATAATGTAAATCATTCGTCTGTTCACATCATGCGTTTTGGTTTCATTCTCATCGTATAAGGAAGTTGCAGGTTTTTTCCTCTTCGTTTCCCGTTTGATTCGGATTTTCCATTTGTTTTGTTTCTTGGAGCTTTGGTTGGCATTCTTCGACATTCCTCGTTTTTATTACGGTTATTATTATTATTATGATTATCGGTATCTTATGTATAGTCATTTGGGATATTAAGGTCGTTCACCGCACTGGATATCACCATAAGGATCCAATTGCCTTTCTGGTTCTTCCATTGGCTTTGTTTCTGTAATGTCATCAAAATTATGGGCACTCTACAAACCCCATTTATTCTATTGTGGTTGGCTCACATTACTCACCTTGGTTGCTTGTTTTTTCTATTCGTATATATGCTTATCACAGTGAGAACACATGAGACTTAGTGGTCTTGAAATGCGTATTCTCTCGCCTAGGGTTATGCTCTTATTACCAAAAGATGCAGTTTTGATTTGTCTTTTTCCTATGACAAATTGGTTGCAATCTGGGATAAACCATTTGACTTTTAATCTATACCGTTGAAAAAGCTTAATTTTGAACGTATTTATGTCCGTGACATTTACTCCCTTTCATGCGTCATCAGCCCAGCTACAAGCCTGGTGCCAGCTGGCAGTCTGGTGCCGGTACTAACAAGAAATGGAGCGCGAGTCGATTCTATTCACTCTGTCCTAATAAGACCTGGTGTAACTTAGCTCTCGTGGCCTATGTGGTCGATCATAATAATCACCCTGTTTTGATGATATTGGTGCGTCTCATTCCACTGTGTAACAGAACAGTGGGAGGGATTGTTGAACAAGTTACCAGCTCAGTTCAGCTCAACTCCACTTTGTCGACTATGCTCACATCAGCGTATCCTGATGTTTCTATCTGCCCTTGGTCATATTAAAATCAACGCTAGTCCATCAGAATGATTTAGAACTTATTCTCCCTCAGTGACCATCTGGAAAATTACCGATAACTGTTGTTCATATCCACACTCATTGTTTATTCCATTGTACATTGGTTCGAGGCAAAGTGAGAATTCCGTGTCAACAAATTTAGCCATACCTCCAAGTCCGTCCCATGCCCGAGTGAACGCGGTGCTTCAGCTCGAGCTGTAAAGAACTGG